CAATAATGGCCGAGCATCCCATTCGCATCGTTTTGTATGATTATTCCAGATTAATTATTTGTTGGAATTTTCTTGGTTAATTTTTCGGAACGAGATTTTTCCGCTTTGAGTGACGTTTTAATTTCAACAGATCATTGTGATTGGATACCTCAGCTATGTATTTAAATATGGTGGATAAGTAATAATATGGTGAACTGTTCCACACTGTGTGGATTAAAACTGCTTCTTTTGTTCTATTTCTTAATTGTAGAATTCGGTATTTTCTGCACAATGCTTCATTCGTGAAATACAGTTGAAAAACAATTGAGATTCTGAATTAAAAGTATTCTTCAAGTTTTAACTAATGTCAGAGTACAGTAGAAGATACAATAACGTCATCAAAGTCCAGTACTAGAATGATAGTTCAATAAACTAAAATAGACAATTATTTTAATTAAGAAAAAAAAACTTCAGAGGTGTCAAGGGACACCCGGATGGAACGAAGTTCCTTTCGATTAATTAGTGAAGGAATTGTATTTTTTTTTAAATTATAATAATAAATTACGGCATTATGAAGAAGAAAAAACAATACTATGAACTAAATTACTATTGTTGAAACGCTATCTCGAGAAACTGTAGTCATTACGCGGACCAATCGGATACGAGCAATGTCACGCGATAAGCGCCTACACGTTGATTGGTCAGAATGACGGATCTAAAAAGTGTCGTGACAACTTTTCGTAAGAATTTTTTCCGTCTAGCCCCCTTTCACAACGCGCGATAAGGAACTTCGTTCCAATAAATTAAATTGAGCACAGACTGTTTCTCAAAAAGATTAGTTGGTGTAATTCTGCAAAATAAAATCGTTTGATATATCATCCATAACTATAGTATTTGTAAAACTGTCAAACCTATAGAGAGTATCGGTATTGAATCACGTCACATCGGTCCCAAGGGCCGTTGAGCGATGCGAATATCAAATTGCTGCCACCCCTTAACTCCATAATTCTGATCCATTAGACGACATACGAAAAGGACACATACGTCTATCATACGTCACTCAATTCAACATCGAAATCTCAAACACAACACAGACTACGTGCACTAAACTACTCATGTTTATCTCGACGCACTAAAAATGGCTCATTAACCGTGCTATTTTCTTCATTTTCCATTGTTTCTGCTTTGTTTCACGACAGTCAAATGAAAATCTATTCTATTTATTGACAAAAAAGCGTGTTTCTTGTGTAGCGCGAGACCGGTGTTTGTGCTCTCGACTGGACTCTCCCAAGGGGCCTTAGCTGGCACATTCTGACGACTGAACTAAGTAGAAAGATAGAACAGAATTAAGCCGGCCAATTATCCCGTATTGGATTTATTGGTAATCTGTGCACGAATGGGCGCGAGGGTGCGAATCGAACCAACTTTTGATGATGCCTCTATAGGCATTATGAACAAAGTTGTTGCAATTTTTATGTTGGAGGATTTATTGTTTACCTTCCTCTCTTGTTTATCCCTTGATTGTGTACCGACAGATAAAAGAGAGCTCAGAAACATTTTATTAGCAGTGAATTAATCTTTTATTTATCAATGCATTCTATCGGATTAGCTACATCCATCAATCTCTTTTCTTTATTACTTTGCTTTTGCACACCTAAACAATATTAATTTTAAATAAATTCTATATTTTTATGAACATTGTCAGAATGAAAATATTTTAGTACTCGAAACACCTTATCTTGATAATATAGTTTTTATGTTGAAATAAATAGGAAAACATTCGCTCCAAATCCGCATTCCTCATAAAATACATCCGCTATATTGTTATAATACAGTGGGTTTTTAAATTGAAGTTTCTCGTTATATTCCGGATGAAAACATGTTACCGATGCTAAAATAAAATATAACTAACAGACTTTAACAAATATTGGCGATTGAAGTTTTATTGTCCATCCCCAACTGACCCATATCGCAATGCTTCTCAGTACAGGAGGGTCATCGCACGATTTATAACTTCAACCCCAGTGATAAAGAACCGAAACTATGAGATGTGACGTTTCATTCAATCCCAGAATATTGTTACTTATATCAGTTTTCGGATGATATTTATTAGGGATCTAGTCGTATTGTAAGCGTCGCCTACGTGACGTATTGTTTAGGAATTGTTGAAATTCGGTAAAAACTATTTTTATTTGCAATCTTCGTCACTTACTATTTTGGTTTTATCTTGTTAGTAGCGTATAAATTAAATTATAAGTATCGTTGTAATGATAACAAAAACATAATCCCTATAGTATGTTATTAACGCTACGTTCATGGGAAATAAAAAACAATAAATTCATGAAAAGCATATTTCACTATTAGAAAACTTGAATTTATCATAAGTCAATTATGTAAGAGTGGAAAAATACAAGTCGATTGTGCGCTTTTCTTATGCCTAAGTATCCCTACGCGAAACAGGTGTCTATAATAGTTTCCCAAACATGTCAAACAGCATAAAGGAAATTGATATATCGATATAAAAGCAAAAATATGTTCACATTGTATCGGTAAAAAATCACAGTGATACGTCATAGCCGTCACTCAACCGTATAGCCAGCCTCTTGGGCATTGCATAAAAGTTTTTTGTTCCCTTGCACGCCGGAGGAGTAAAGTAATCCTCAAAAAAATTTATGCACGATTTTGATATTTATGAATTATTATATTAAAGAACAAACGGTCGAGTATTTTTCGATGGAGAGCAAGTACCCTCCGTTATTTTTTTACTTTTTCAGTAATATTTGACGTCATCAGCTCTGACGTCACTGTTGTCGTATGTATGTATAAATAAACAAAGCTACAATAGTAAGGTACTATTTATATACCTAATTCATATATTTGTTTGTCAAAATGCTTTATATTTTTTTTTGTTGGGAAGCTATTAACGAGCTTTATTATTATCAATATTTTTTTCAAGAAATATTTTTTATACAAAAAATGTAACATCTGTGTGTGGACGAGTAAAGTGAGGACTCTTTTCAAATCTTATGAAGTTAGCGTTCAGCAAACATCGAAGAGGATGAAATCCATGAACATACATTCCTTACAAAAGCCAAGAAACATAGAAACTTCTAGGCCGCGATGTTTTTATTTGAAAACTAATTGCTTAGTAAGATTCTTCAATAATGCACTTCAGCGTGACTAGTAATTTGAATTTATTAATTAAAATACGTAAAAACATCAAGTTTTTGATGTAGGTATGCCGTTATTGCGGTGCGCTATTATGAGTGGGAATTGACTTTTGATGTAAGACTGTGAGCTGGTTCTGGGGTAGGCTTGTTTTTTCAGATCTTAAATGTAGATCTCATATGACACCCGGTGTAATGGAACACATAGAGCGATGAGATCATACCACTGTTAAGTCACAAAGGTAGGTATTAAATTTTATAAGGAAATACGTACTTAACACATCATCACGAAAAAAAACATAATGTAATGAAATCAAACCCCGTAAAAAAATAAGTGGGGCAATATTTATAACAATAGTCGCCCCGGTAAGGTACACACACCCCCACCCTGGGTATTCCTTCCGTGGAGCAGCCATGCATTCCGATCCGAAAAGTAGGACAGTCTTTCTATTACACAAGTGAGACATAGAATACAAGTCTCAAGACTAACTCCGTAACGACTTAACACCAGATGGGTCGTAAAGTCATTCGATAAACATCAATAAATCGCATAAGAAACTTATAAAAAAATAGTTTAAAAAAACTAACAAAATACGCTTTTATAGAAAATCAAACTAAAAAATAAAATTTTTTTTTTAATAAATTTGAATTAAAAATAGTCTAAGAAAAAATGATTTTATTGTAAAAAAGCGCGGGGTGCTTTTCAGGATATTATCCAAATAACCCTTCTACTCATATCTGTTCATATTATTTATATATGATACCATGCACCCCACGCTTTTTTTACAAGAAAATCATTTTTCTTACACTATTTTTATTTCAAATTTATTCAAATTTATTTTCTATGTTTTAGTTGAATTTTCTATATAAGCGTATGTTGTTAGTTTTTTAAACTATTAGTTATTTTTTAGTTGAATTTCAATATTTTTTTAATATTGAATTGTCATCGGCCCTTAATAAGTATACCAAATTTCAAGTTAATCCGACGTTTTGAAGGGGGTCAAAATCATATTCAAAGATTCCGTTACAAACATATATACGTCTGAAGCTAATAAAAGCGTAATCCACGATGGTAAATTATTATTATGACAGTCTAAAAACACACTAGACACGTTCCCTCGATTTGACACTCGCTAAATTTGAATTACGATCTTGAATTCACTGTATTTGTACTGTATTTATATTTCCTTCAATTATAATCTATATCTGTATATAATTTCAATCATATTAGTTCCGAATTTTTTGAGACTAATACGATTTAAGCACTAGAAGATTCATTAAACGTTTCTCCTAATGCTCGAAAGAATGAACGTGAAATGAATAACGAATACGACATTTTTCATATTTTTTAAACATATTCAGACCGCGTTAATTTATGTTTTTTTTATGCACTAATCATGATATTGATGTATAAAGTTATTGGAGCCCGTAGACATCAGCACCTGGACACCGCCCGCCTTGAGACAAGATATTCAAGTCGTCCATCCCGTCTAGGCAATAAGAATATAAAATAATATTTTTTTATAAATATATCTAAGAATTTTTAATATCATTAAAATATACACAATACAACTTTCGCAATAATAATATTTCAATGTTATAATCTAATACATTGTATAGGGAAGACGGGATCAGCTTAAATATTTAATCAGAACGCACCAGCCATTTCCCTAATTTACCCGTTAACGACACATGTATCGCACCATATAACCTTTTGAACTTCGTATAAGTGTGGGTGTGTGTGTGTGTGTATATTAATAATACCATTAATTATTGAATAGGAAATGCACCACAAAATTAAAATCAGTTTATTAAATTGTAGTTATTATTATATAAACAGTAAATATCAAATAGTTAAGTAGTTATTGTAGCTGTTGTGAGATTTGACGTATCTATGTCATTTGTAACAATATTTTTCTCACTCGCTTCACCAGCCGATAGAGTACTGTGATCTGTTTTTGAATTTAAATTGACTTCTGGAGCCTTTGTTTCATTGGTATCGTGTATAATATTTTGACTTTCTGTTGGATTTGTGATTATACTTTCATTGTTATCCACAGTTTGATTTTTGTTGTGTGATGCACTGGCATCATCAGTTTCATTTTTACTTTGCAATCCATTGCTATCATCAGTTCCATTTTTACTTTGCAAGCCATTGCTATCATCAGTTCCATTTTTACTTTGTAATCCATTGCTATCATCAGTTCCATTTTTACTTTGCAATCCATTGCTATCATCAGTTCCATTTTTACTTTGCAAGCCATTGCTATCATCAGTTCCATTTTTACCTTGCAATCCATTGCTATGTTCAGTTTTGTTTATATTATATAATCCATCGGTATCAATAGTTCCATTTTTATCCTGTAATTCTTTTTCAACTAAAGTTTCAGTATGATTTAATTTTCCAATTACTTCTACTGTCTTGTTTGATGATGCAATCTTTTTAATACCGACAAAATTTTCACTTCGATTAAAAAAATAAGGAGTCACTAATTTCTGCTCCTCATACTGGACCACCCATGCTGGTTTAGAAGTCGTAGGTGCCCCTAATTTCCAAATAGTTGAATTCGCTAAACGTTTTTTGCTATACTTTGCTTTGTCCTTGTTGTGGTAACATCTACACACGCAGTGTTTGTCAGCGTAAGCAACGTCGTATTGCAAATCCAGACATTTCTGTATGCACACATATGATCGTTCAAAACTATGACAATCTCTTACGTTGTGGAATCCGTAACGAAGCATTAATGTTTCATCTATAATTAAGATTAACTTTACCTTAGAATTTATCATTAACGAATATTATTTTTTTATCAAAATAAATACATACTTTTGAGAACTTCCATTCCATAAATCGTTTTTGAAACATGTAAAACTAGAAGGGCTAAAAAGATCAGTGCCTCCATTGTTAAAGATCCAACAATAAATATTTGACACGCGTTTTTGAAGTATTCTATTAATTTTAACAGTTTTCGCTCGTTTAGTGTTCAATTACCTGAGGCAATTAATTATTTTTCATTGCATTTTTTAGCTGTTAATTGCCATTTCGATTTAAGATAAACATTATAAGGACAGCACGGTAGAAATTTAGTTGCATGGTCGTACAATTTGTAATTGTATAATTGCAATAAAAGTCAATAAAACCGGCAGACCGACAGAGCGACCGACCAACTTGACTGCCTGAGACAGACTGAGACGACACTTTTTTTTTTCCTACCTAAGCTGATAGCCTTAGGCGCTATTTCAGCGTAACCCTAACGTTTGTAGGTGAGCTCACGGGGCTCAAACTTGATGACGTTGCTAACACGAACCCTAGCAAGAGCCGTGCTTCGCAGAATCTACCACCGGATCGGAAGCGCGACCCACTGAGAAGATCCGGCGAGAAACTCAGTGGGCTGTGTCTGAGAGTTAATTTACTCGTCGAGCCCTTCGTCGCAAGCGACGGGTTCGACGAGAACGGTGACCGGTGCTTGAAGTACCTAAAAGCACCGTTAGTGGATCGGGAGGATCCGAGATGACG